TAAAAAAAGATTGAACACCAAAGAACTGATACTTTCGAATTGTGGGGCTGGAGAAGCCTCTTGGGATTCTCTTGGACTGCCAGATCAAACCAGTTGTAAGGAAGTCAGTTAATTTTAAATGAAATCAACCCTGAATATTCACTGGAAGGACTAATGCAGAAGCTGAAGCTCCAAAACTTTGGCCATCTCCCCCCATCCCATTCCTAAAGGTCATCACAGAGCATTGTAGTTCTATCTTAAAATGTTATACACATGGACTATCACATGGTGAGCAATTAACTTTCCAATATTATTCATCAGACTCAGATTATTGTTAAATAGACAAAAGTAATATGTACTAGCTAAGCTAAGTGATGAAACAGTTACTACATAAATTATCAAATAGATGACTAAATAAGTTACCTAAATATATAATTAATAGTGTTTCTCAATGACATATCTTGTTTTTTAATATTTAGATAATTATAAGAACTATGAGGCCAGATTATACTGAACATAAAAAATCAAACTGCAAGTGCCTTTATGAGTTTGTTAACATTTTCTTAGAATAGCCAGATTTCTGCCAGAAAACAGTTGCTTGAGAAATAGCACTATTCTCAGATGAGGATTATGGCCAGGACTCAGGATGCAGACTGTCCTGGGAAACAGAAAGAGTCAGCCTTTCATGCTAAGGCACCAACTGAGCAAATTAGTAAGAACTTATTGCTAACCTGACATTGAACACGTGGGTAGTCACTGTTTCAACCAACTGGGGATTGACTAAGAAGCAGATGTTCTTTGAGTTGAGCTGAAAAATAGACTGCAATTGAGATTGCTCATTTTTATTTTATTTTGTCTGCTGTGTTGTGTTCAGTTCTCAAAGGCATATTTTATGAAGGGTATAGGCAGACAAAGATGTGCCCAGAGGCAGATGGCAGGAGCTTGAATCATGTCACAAAGAAAGTGAGATCTCCCTGGGTTTGTCTAGCCTAAGGATGAGAAAAGCAGAGAAAACACATCATCCATGTCCAAATATTTGAAGAATGTTTCATTCAGTTTTGAGTAACACTAAGAAACAAATCAAGGTATAGGGAACATGAGAAGTGTTAACAAATGTTGCCAGCAACTGAGCCATCCAAGGAAAATGGTAATGAGTTTCCTGTAATTGAAAATGATGAAGTCTTTGTCCTATTGCCAACTTTCAACAAATTACTTATTAATACCTAATCTGTACAGTGAGGATCATGGCATTTATCCCTGCTCCAGCAGATCTTCCTGACCCAGGAATCAAACCAGGGTCTCCTGCATTGCAGGCAGATTCTTTACCAGCTGAGCTATCAGGGAAGCCCCTATTTATTAATTCACACACAGTAATTGTTGATTGAATACTCTGGACACCTAATGTGAAGAATTGACTCATTGGAAAAGACCCTGATGCTCAGAAATATTGAAGGCAGGAGGAGAAGGGGACAACAGAGGGTGAGATGGCTAGATGGCATCACCGACTCTATGGACATGAGTTTGAGTAAGCTCCGGGAATTGATGATGGAAAGGGAAGCCTGGTGTGCTGCAGTCCTTGGGGTCACAAAGAGTTGGACATGACTGAGCGACTAAACTGAACTAACTGAATGATTGATTGGATAGAGTAAAAATTAGGGGAAGACACTGCATAAATTCAGGTGGCATAACACTTTTCTCCACTCATTGTTTTGCTAAAATGTCTACACAGGTTAATCACCAATAGAACTTTGGCCCCTTATGATGTAACAACTATTTTGAAACACCACAAATAGCCGGCTAATAGGTATCAAATCATCCATCTGGCTCTCAAGGCCCTTGGAGTGTCATTCTTCTCTCTCCTCTGTGTCCTTGAGAACAAGTACAGTAGGCTCAATGCCATGGTCAGTACAGGTTGTAACTGGTGTCTGGCTAGCTTCACAGTGAACATTTTTTGAATAATTCTTTATATTTTTGAAATTAGAATATAAAGAGTCTGCACTTGATAATCACAAAAACTCAATAGAACCTGAAGTATTTGACTAAACAGTTGAGAGAAAAGTTGTTGATCACTTTCCTTTTGTAACTCAGATATGTGCGATGGAACAAGTCTGTAGTCAGCCTGCTCAGTCTCTTCGTGGAAGTGAGTTTGTCTCAGATGACACATATAACTCGGATATCTTGTGTGATGGGTGATGACTATCTCTATGTCCTTAATTTGGGGGCAGTGAACACCAGGTATGGAAGTAGAATCTTTAAATCTTGATAGCTCAAAACAACGTTCTTTGTTTATGAATGTAACAAGGAGTTTTCCTATTTGGTAGACCTGCAGGTGTCAACAGTTGATATCAACATGGACTAGAGTGTGGTCTGAGGGTCCATGAAAGCTCTAGTCCATTTGAAGACTTTGTAGTCCTGCCCTCAATCAAGCCCCTTCTGGACCACTACACAATCTCCAACCTGCCTGCCTCCTTGGTCCTGCTCAAACCGGCTCTAGTGCTGCTACATCAGTGACTATGCTACAACCACAAAAATATAACCATGTTATTTCTCAGCTTTAAACTAACATCTCACAGTGCTTTCCGGATGAAGTCCTAATTTATTAGCACGGCATTAGCCCTTCGTGTTCTAGTCCTTTCTTTGCCCTCCAATCTCATTTCTTACCACCCAACATGTCATATCTCCACACATCCAGCCCACTATGCACTAGACATGCTGGTTCTGCACCTATTCTTTCCTCTGCCTACATCTCCACTTCCATCCTTTCTCCACCTCAGCCAGACCAGCTCCTAATCACTCTTCAGAGCATACTCTGCTATTCTCATCCACTAGACACCTTATTTGCTTTAATTCCTTAGTTGTGTAACTTTCCATGTATCTGTACCCTTTAACTTTTCTCTTTCCAAAAAAGAGCCCCTTAGAGATAAAACCCACAAACCAAAAAACTTCACCCACTTACGAGGTAAAATTTAATGGATTCTAATGCATTTACAGAGTTGGGCAACTATCATGATCCCAAAAGAAGACCCCATACCCAATGACCCCTATGCCCCTACCCTGTCTAGCCCTAGGCAACCACTAGTCCACTTCCTGTCCTGATTTATTAGTCTATTCTGAACATTTCATAAAAATGGATTATAAAGTACATGGCCATCAGTGAGAGGTTGAAGATGGAGTGAGACATCAGAGGAAGACTTGACTTTTCTTTTTTTTTACTTTTCTGTTTTAAATAGTTCTCTGTTACTTAGATCTTTTCAATGAGATGTATTCACTTCCAGGACTAAAAATAAATAAGATAGAATAGTAGTCAATAGTCTTCCTCAGATAGGACACAGTCAATATTCTTGAGTCTTCTCAGGGAAAATGGGTAAAGCAGATTTTCCAAGCATTGGTGAATAATAAAGAGGTTGGAAGCTGTAGAATTTTCAAGTGGTAAAACTTAACATTTTATATATTAAGAAATGTTTGGTAAAAGTCAAACTACTAGCTGGTTTTCATTTTGTCCTACAATACACTTTTTTGATTTGATATACATATATTATAACTAATACTTCAAATGTAAGAAGCCATACTCAGTATATATGTCAACCCTCTGCAAGTAAATCCAGCCAGTTAATTGGAAGTGTTCTTTGTGAAATGAGAATCAGAACCACCACTCCCAACGACATGTTCCTAAAAGGATGTGATGATCTGTTGTTTTATTGGCTCTCAGTAGTCAATATCCGCAAGTCTGTTGAATAGAACCTCAAAGAAAGCATATGCTTTGTTTAGTCCAGCACATTCTTGACTAAAACAAAGTAAGTGTTCTCTCAGTGATTGTAATTTTAAGGAGAAAGATTTATTTGACATACAGGAAGAACATATAGTACAGCTTGAAAAGGAGAAAATGGAATTCATTTTAGCTAAGGAAGAAAGTTCAAGCTGAACACTGGTCTCATAACTCATTTAAGGCAAGTCTTTTTCCTCAAGTGCTTTCTTATAAATTAGAAAGGAACACAATGTTTTCCACTAAATGCTTCTAAAAGAAAAATTGTGTTCCTTAAACCAGTGCTGAGAGACTTGAAAAATAGAGGCTGGAGATTAGGAACAAGGGACATGGTGATTAAAATCCCTTCAAATCCAAGTCCAGACTGGAGTGAGAGAATGTTATCATCAAGCTTTTTGAAGTTTTAAGTTATAGTATTTCTGTGCTTTTCTCCCATGAGTTGAAGAAACTGAGGATTTGGTAAGTAAAATACCTTGGCACAGCCATCTGGCTGTCTTGTGGTCAGCACTCATCACGAGTGCTCAATCATGTCTAACTATGTGTGAACGCATGAACTGTAGCCTGCCAGGGTCCTTTGTCTGTGGGATTTCCCAGGCAAGAATACTGGAATGGGTTGCCATTTCCTTCTCCAGGGTATCTTCACAACCAGGGATAGAACCCACATCTCTTGCATCTCCTGCATTGCAGGTGGGTTCTTTACCACTAGCATCACCTGGGAAGCCCCAGTGGGTTGAATGCTAGTCCCTGAAAGATATGTCCACCCAGACATGCAGCCTTAAGCCAAGGAACACCTGCATCCCCAGAAGCTGGAAGAGAAAAGGAAGGAGTCCACTTGGAGCCCTCCTAGGGACCATGGCCCTACTCCATCTTGTTTCAGGCCTATGGCCTCCAGAATTGTGAGAGAATTAATTTTTGTTGCTTTAAGCCAAGTTTATAGCAATTTGTTATGTCAATCCCAGAAGACTACTATACATGAGAATGTGTAATATATGAAATACTCCTCTATGTAAAATATGGAAGTTACGAAACAGTACCTAACATGAAATACCATTTTTGTGCAAAGTACAACATCCACATACACAAATGGTGCAGAGGAACAAAAAAATCATGCATTTTAAAAGTTGATGGAGAGAAGCGGAGTGTTGAGCCAGGCCTCGCGCTGTTAGTCAGTGTGGTGTGGAGTCCACACGATGGCGGGACCTCATCAGGCCTCGCGCGTGGCTCAGGGCCTCTCAGGTTCCGTGGTCCAGAGGGCACCATGGACAACAAGGAGTTAATCGAATACTCTAAGTCTCAGCTCAAAGAAGATCCTGACATGGCCTCAGCAGTAGCTGCCATCCGGACTTTGCTGGAGTACTTGAGAAGAGATGCACGGGTGACAACCCAGGGCCTGAGGGCGAATCGCACCAGGGCCACAGAAACCCCGTGGCATGCTCTTCAGCGGCCATGTCGTTGTGCGGTGAGCTCTTCCTGGGCTTCAGCAGCCTTACCTCCCTGGAATACTCTGATTACTCCAAATGTAAAAAGATCATGAGGAGCGGGGAGAGATTTTCCTTAGGAGACTATCACTGTCGAGAAATAAAAGTGCCATAGTTTGATCAAAGATGGGGCAAGAATATTAACGCGCACCTACCCCATAGTGGGTGGTCCTGAGTGTCTTGGAAGCTGCCCTGGCACCAAGAAGTGTTTCAGTGGGTGCATTACAGAGTCACAGCCTGACTTATCAGGTAAGAAGATGGCCAAAGCCCTCTGCCACCTCAGTGTCCCCTTCACTGTGGCCCCTGATGCTGCAGTTGGCTACATCATGGAGAAAGTGGACCTTGTCATAGCTGGCACTGAAGGAGTTGTTGAAAACAGAGGAATCATTAACAAGGTAGGAGCATCATTTCTCCACAGGTCCTTGCTCACAGTGTGGAGCTCCATTGATGATCTCAGACACCCAACAACATTGTGTATTATGGTTCATTCCTTTAATACTGTTTAGCCTTAGGACTCCACCATCACAACGAGTGGTCTCCCCGTTCCCCTGAGCCACTGCAGTGGGGTCAGTCAAATTTTGGTCAGATTTCTTTCTGCTTTGGAAACTGATCTGCGTAGATTTATTTCAGTTCAGTCATTCAATCATGTCCGACTCGGCGACCGCATGGACTGCCACACGCCAGGCCTCCCTGTCCATCACCAACTCCTGGAGTTTACTCAAACTCATATCCATTGAGTCGGTGATGCCATTCAACTATCTCATCCTCTGTGGTCCCCTTCTCCTCCTGCCCTCAATCTTTCCCAGCATCAGGGTCTTTTCCAACAAGTCAGCTCTTCACATCAGGTGGCCAAAGCATTGGAGTTTCAGCTTCAACATCAGTCCTTCCAATGAACACCCAGGACTGATCTCCTTTAGGATGGACTGGTTGGATCTCCTTGCAGTCCAAGGGACTCTCAAGAGTCTTATCCAACACCACAGTTCAAAAGCATCAATTCTTCAGTGCTTAGCTTTCTTTATAATTCAACTCTCACATCCATACATGATTACTGGAAAAACCATAGCCTTGACGAGACAGACCTTTGTTGGCAAAGCAATGTCTCTGTTTTTTAATATGCTATCTATGTTGGACATAACTTTCCTTCCAAGGAGTAAGTGGCTTTTTATCTCATGGCTGCAGTCACCATCTGCAGTGATTTTGAAGCCTAGAAAAATAAAGTCATCCACTGTTTCCACTGTTTCTCCATCTATTTGCCATGAAGTGATGGGACCAGATGCCATGATCTTAGTTTTCTGAATGTTGAGCTTTCAGCCAACTTTTTCACTCTCCTCTGTCACTTTCATCAAGAGGCTCTTTAGTTCTTCTTCACTTTCTGCCATAAGAGTGGTGTCATCAGCATATCTGAGGTTATTGATATTTCTCCTAGCAATCTTGATTCCAGCTTGTGCTTCCTCCAGCCCAGCATTTCTCATGATGTACTCTGCATATAAGTTAAATAAGCAGAGTGACAACATACAGACTTGACATACTCCTTTTCCTATTTGGAACCAGTCTGTTGTTCCATGTCCAGTTCTAACTGTTGCTTCCTGACGTGCATACAGGTCTCTCAAGAGGCAAGTCAAGTGGTCTGGTATTCCCATTCCTTTAAGAATTTTCCACAGTTTATTGTGATCCACACAGTCAAAGGCTTTGGCACAGTCAGTAAAGCAGAAATAGATGTTTTTCTGGAACTCTCTTGCTTTTTTGATGATCCATCGAATGTTGGCAATTTGACCTCTGCTTCCTCTGCCTTTTCTAAAACCAGCTTGAACATCTGGAAGTTCACGGTTCACATATTGCTGAAGCCTGGCTTGGGGAATTTTGAGCATTACTTTACCAGAGTGTGAGATGAGTGCAATTGTGAGGTAGTTTGAGCATTCTTTGGCATTGCCTTTCTTTGGGATTGGAATGAAAACTGACCTTTTCCAGTCCTGTGGCCACTGCTGAGTTTTCAAAGTTTGCTGGCATATTGAGTGTAGCACTTTCACAGCATCATCTTTCAGGATTTGAACCAGCTCAACTGGAATTCCACCACCTCCACTAGCTTTGTTCATAGTGATGCTCCCTAAGGACCACTTGACTTCACATTCCAGGATGTCTGGCTCTAGGTGAGTTATCACACCATTGTGGTTATCTGGGTAGTGAAGGTCTTTTTTGTACAGATCTTCTGTATATTCTTGCCACCTCTTCTTAATATCTTCTGCTTCTGTTAGGTCCATACCATTTCTGTCCTTTATTGAACCCATGTTTGCATGAAATGGTCCCTTGGTATCTCTAATTTTCTTGAAGACATCTCTAGTCTTTCCCATTCTGTTGTTTTCCTCTATTTCTTTGCACTGATCACTGAGGAAGATTTTCTTTTCTCTCCTTGTTATTCTTTGAAATGCTGCATTCAAATGGGTATATCTTTCCTTTTCTCCTTGGCTTTTTGCTTCCCTTCTTTTCACAGCTATTTGTAAGGCCTCCTCAGAGAGGCACTGTGCTTTTTTGCATTTCTTTTTCTTGGGGATGGTCTCGCTCCCTGTCTCCTGTACAATGTCACAAACCTCCATCCATATTTCATTAGTCACTCTATCAGATCTAGTCCCTTAGATCTATTTCTCACTTCCACTGTATAATCATAAGGGATTTGATTTAGGTCATACCTGAATAGTCTAGTGGTTTTCCCTACTTTCTTCAATTTAAGTCTGAATTTGGCAATAAGGAGTTCATGATCTGAGCCACAGTCAGCTCCCGGTCTTCTTTTTGCTGGCTGTATAGGGCTTCTCCATCTTTGGCTGCAAAGAATATAATCAATCAGAGAACCTATTTATACTTATTGAAAACATGCTTTACTTGGAATTGGGTTTTTTTCTTTTTAATGGAGCATATTTGACATCAATATAGTATTTAAAATTTATCTGTTGCTTCACATAGAAAGATTTCATGACAGTTATTGTGTTTGATAAAGTATATAAAATGTAAAATTTGCCATCATAATCATTTTAAAGTGTTAATTTCAGTGGCGTTAATTCCACTCTCACATTGTTGTGCAGCCCTAACCACTGTCTGTCTTCAAAACTTCTCCATCACCCAAAAAACTGTCACCTTTAAGCAAAATTCCTTGCTTTTCTCTCCCCCATCCCCTAAGCTATTTTCTGTCTCCGTGATTTTTGCCCATCCGAGGTACCTTATGTAAGTGGAATCACACAGTATCTGTCTCTTTTTTTTTTTGAGTCTGGTTTATTTCACTTAACATGATGTTTTCAAAGCTCACCTGTACTGTACATGTGTCAGTGCTTCATTTCTTTTTTATGGCTGCATAATATACCATTGTATGGCTGGACCACATGTGTCTATTCTTCTATGAATGAATGCCTTTTGACTATTATGACTAATGCTGCTAATAACATAGGTGTACAATTAACTTATTTGAGTTTCTGTTTTTGATTCTTTGGTGTATATACCTAAGAGAGGGGAAAAAACAAAAGTAAATGGATACTACTTGTTCTTGAAAATTCTGAAAAACTCCCATGAGTTGTTGGAAGGAACTTTCATGGTTTAAGGGAGAAAAATAATTGCAAGTAAGCTTCAAATAGAAAAAGAATCTGAGGGCTATAATGTACCAAACTTTAAACTGTTGGTAATTTATTTTTCTGGAGTTGAGCTGGAGGAGTTGCTTGTATATTTTTGAGATTAATCCTTTGTCTGTTGCTTCGTTGGCTATTATTTTCTCCCAATCTGAGGGCTGTCTTTTCACCTTGCTTATAGTTTCCTTTGTTGTGCAAAAGCTTTTAAGTTTCATTAGGTCCCATTTGTTTATTTTTGCTTTTGTTTCTAAAATTCTGGGATGTGGGTCATAGAGGATCCTGCTGTGATTTATGTCGGAGAGTGTTTTGCCTATGTTCTCCTCTAGGAGTTTTATAGTTTCTGGTCTTACATTTAGATCTTTAATCCATTTTGAGTTTATTTTTGTGTATGGTGTTAGAAAGTGTTCTAGTTTCATTCTTTTACAGGTGGTTGACCAGTTTTCCCAGCACCACTTGTTAAAGAGCTTGTCTTTTTTCCATTGTATATCCTTGCCTCCTTTGTCGAAGATAAGGTGACCATAGGTTCGTGGATTTATCTCTGGGCTTTCTATTTTGTTCCATTGATCTATATTTCTGTCTTTGTGCCAGTACCATACTGTCTTGATGACTGTGGCTTTGTAGTAGAGCCTGAAGTCAGGCAGGTTGATTCCTCCAGTTCCATTCTTCTTTCTCAAGGTTACTTTGGCTATTCGAGGTTTTTTGTATTTCCATACAAATTGTGAAATTATTTGTTCTAGTTCTGTGAAAAATGCCGTTGGTAGTTTGATAGGGATTGCATTGAATCTATAGATTGCTTTGGGTAGTATAGCCATTTTGACAATATTGATTCGTCCAATCCATGAACACGGTATATTTCTCCATCTGTTTGTGTCCTCTTTGATTTCTTTCATCAGTGTTTTATAGTTTTCTATGTATAGGTCTTTTGTTTCTTTAGGTAGATATACTCCTAAGTATTTTATTCTTTTTGCTGCAATGGTGAATGGTATTGTTTCCTTCATTTCTCTTTCTGTTTTCTCATTGTTAGTGTATAGGAATGCAAGAGATTTCTGTGTGTTAATTTTATATCCTGCAACTTTACTGTATTCGTTGATTAGCTCTAGTAATTTTCTGGTAGAGTCTTTAGGGTTTTCTATGTAGAGGATCATGTCATCTGCAAACAGAGAGAGTTTCACTTCTTCTTTTCCTATCTGGATTCCTTTTACTTCTTTTTCTGCCCTGATTGCTGTGGCCAACACTTCCAAAACTATGTTGAATAGTAGTGGTGAGAGTGGGCACCCTTGTCTTGTTCCTGATTTCAGGGGAAATGCTTTCAATTTTTCACCATTGAGGGTGATGCTTGCTGTGGGTTTGTCATATATAGCTTTTATTATGTTGAGGTATGTTCCTTCTATTCCTGCTTTCTGGAGAGTTTTAATCATAAATGGATGTTGAATTTTGTCAAAGGCTCT